TCAATATATAGCTATTTGAAATAATAAATTTCCGTTTAATAATATTGCGATAACGATAAATAAAAAATTAAAAAAATTTTTTTTTATATAAAATCTTAAAAATTTATATTACGGTTAATTATCGGTTAATTATCGGTTAATTATCGGTTAATTAACCGGTTAATTAACCAAATCTTAATTAACCGTTAATTTCCCATCCCTAGCTCAATATAAATTTAGGTCTAAAAGATCAGAAAATCGGTCGTGTCGCACAAACTGCTGAGCAAACAAATTCGACGAAAAATGCGACCGATCAATTTTGAATCACTTTTTTTCATTCCACTATGCGTGTTTCTAACTATTTTGATATATCACCACCTAATCAGTATAATTTTCTTGGATATGTATTAAACAAACTGACTTTACGTTTTCATTTCAAAAGGAAGCAAATACTTTAAGAAAAAATCCGAAAACAATTTTGAATAATAGTAGTAACTCAGAAATAATTAAAAGCGTCAAAAGTTTAGAAGAAACTTTTAAGGTAAGTACAAACATCAGTATTTTAGCGGCCCTTCCAAGACTGAGAAATTGGGTGGCCCGGTGATAGACTTTTTCGTGGAATCCTTTTTTTTTTTTTGTAATTACAACTGGCAAGGCAGTATAGAAGTTCACAGAGCCCGAGGCTCACACAACTACGGCGGACTTCTTGCGCGTGGCCTGCCTTATGATCTTGCGTGTTCGTTGTGGTCTACAGAAAGTAGTATGTGAAACTTCTAGTAGTTCTAGGAACTCCAACAACTACGGTGGGCTTCTTGCGCGTGGCCTGCTTTATGATCTTGCGTGTTCGTTGTTGTCTGCTTTGCTAGTGGATTTTTTTTTTGTAATATTTATAACATTCATGTTCTTTGTAGGATCACCGAGCTAGAATCCAGGAAGTTGACAAATTCTGGAACAATATTGAAATGAATATTTACATGAAAAACTTAGTATAGAGGAGAAGGAATTGCATTTAGATGAGGTAAACATTTTATTCTTGGTACTATTTAGATTGATATGATTAATAATAAATATTGGATTCTAGTTGGAAATAGCTCGTGTGATAACTCAAGGGGCTTCAAAAGCAACTGCAACGGTAATGGAAAACGTTGATGCAAAGCTGGTATGATTTAATTTCATATAATATATATAATTTGCGAGTAGAATAATAAATTTAATAATTACGTTTTTGTTACTTTGGCAGAAATCTAATCAAAAACATAATTTATCTGATACATCCAAACCTACTGATGGAATCGAAAATGGAACAGTTAAAAAGGTTAGTCCAGAATAAATACATGTTTAGCCTGCAGAAATGCTTTAGAAATTCCCTATTTTTTGGATATGGCAGATTAAAACGATCCAAGAGCCATCTATATCTCCTTCCATAAATTGCGACAACGAAACTGAGGAACAAGATGAACAAATTGAAATGGATTTTGCAAGTATTAGGAAACAGTTAGAGATGGAGCCACTTGTTGAGGTATGTAGTAGGTTGAATGAACCTGAGAAAAATGCAGCGAAACTGAACTTTTCTACCGCATTTTTAATGCTATTTACATGCTTAAGTGGAAGGTTAGCAATATAAACATCACACAGAAGTTTCGTGAAGTGTTATTGACAAAACGATGAAGTATGGATTAAAGTGGAGTGACCCATATGAGATTTTGTAAGTATTATGAGACAATATAGAACCGAAGAATAAAATTGCATTTTTACTATTCAAATAAATTTATCCTTTATATTGTGTTTTAGGTCATTTTCATCGGTCATTGTCCTTTCTTGGCCATGTCCGTATTCAAAATTTTTTACCAACCGTGAATGGGACCAAATAATTCGAACAAATCCATATGTGATTCAGTATCCTATAATACCATCATCAACCTCAAATATTCTTCGTGAAGCAGCAATAATGCATTTAATGGGAAAGGAAAGTTATATGCAACCCGATGAATCAGAACTGAGCAAAGCTGTTGCTCGCACGTTTAATGATTTGTATGTTGACTTATATTTCATCTTTGTCAGTAATTGGGAAAGAAAGTTTGAAGATTATATTAATTTTTTTAACAAATTATAGATGTGATATTCCTATCCATTCTTCAGTCAAAACTTCTGAAGAATTGCACTGTGATAAATTGTTATATCCCTATATAATCTCTTTGTTTTTTGGACGACTTGCAGAATATGAAGTTCGACTTAATCGTACAGTAAGTGGCACACAAAAACGTCCTGACTTCTCTTGTGTTGTCGATGATGTACCAATACTTAACTCTGAGTTCAAACCGCTTGGAGTAACACCGTTTAAAAGGAAGAAAGATTTCACGAAAGTACATTTAAGAGCAAAAAAGTCAATAAATCAACAACTAAACTTAAAAGGTGGTCCCGGTGAAGCAGGATTGTTAATGAATATGGGTATTCAACAAATTGTTAACTTTTATTTATACACGTTTTCTAAATCTAACACATTCATATGTTCAAGCTGATGAAGTCGAATCTTTTTTTATGGAATTAAGATCCGGATTATACTGTTCTTGGTCCTTTCTTAGAACTAGATTATCAATCGATAAGGCATCGATGCCATTAATAGAATCAAATTTTTGCCACTTCGTGGCGTTAGAGGTATACAATATTTGTCCTATTTCATAATTTATAATGGAAATCCATTAAGTTTACATCAAACTTTTCTCATTTACAGAAACAAGTAAATAAACTTGCCGAGGATTTTAAAAGACGAAGTCAAGAATTTACACCACCTCTACAAATGCAATTTATGACAGAATTTCCCGATTCTCCACAACTGAGGAAATTGCTTGAATTATCATAAGAAAAAATAATAAATAATTTTTCTTATATATTAACGCAACCAGTTATGAAGTTTAGCAGTTATTTGTATCAATAAAGCTGGTCCTGGTACTCGATTTGCGTACATAATCGTGTTTATTTTTACGTTTTTTTCTGGGATTTATTACAATGTATTGTTATCGATGTTATTTCAACCTGAGCGTTTCTCTATAATCATGTGACAAGACTTTCGAAATCTAATTCTCATCCTAATTGTGATTATGGTGATTTGCTTTATTATTAAAAGAATTGAATCTTATTACTGTTGCAGTATGCCCATATAGAAAATAAAATGTTTGAATATTAAACTACAGTGCGAAACCTCTATAATAGGAACTTAAAAAAGCATTAATAAAATTTAATCCGCCTTCGTCAACGCTTGTTTAACTTTGAAAGTCGCCATTTCTTTTTTTTTCGTTAGTGTTTGACGGGAAGATGTGCTGCGCGATGTGATATCGCACGCAGATCATTTTCATATTAAAAAAATTCGTTTTTTTTTAATATAATTTTCTTGTTTTAATTTTTATATTTAGGCAACTCCTAGAAACAAAAAATTATACTAAGCAATGTTTCTTTTATATTAGTAGATATATTTGAATGTCTTATTTTGAGAAATTAAATAAAAAGAATTTAAATAATGATATATTTAATTATGAAGCAACAATTTAATTAACGTTTCTCGTCAGTTTGGGTGGCTTAGCGGTGGCTTAGATTAAAATTACAAATTCCGATCTAATGTAAACAATACTAGATGTCTATTCTAAGAGAACTCCAACTTTATCATGGAGTCGGTTTCTGAACAAGACAAAAGTTTATACTTTGGTTATGAAGCTGCACCTAATAAGATCATCCCCTCAAGACAAATTTTTGTAATTGAGTATCCAGGTTATGTAAAAAGTGTTGATAAAGTTTTACAAACTTTAGGTGGTGAAAAAGGTCTCAAGAAGGTGAAAATTATTATTATTATTATTATTATTTGAAAGTAATAAATAAAGTGAGGGTCTAAATATACCATGACCGTACCTAGTTTCTTATCATGTATATCATGTGAATAATTTATCGTATGTTTTTTGTCTAAGGCTGTAAATGAGAGTCTTATGGAACTTCGTTTTAGACCTGATGATCCTTTTTGCCATCCTATTAACGGAGATGTCATACCAACATCGAATCTTTTGCTTAAAGTAACTAGACGCAAGAAAAAACGTCAAAATAAAAATATGAATCGCGGGGATGAAGAGAATGCTAACGTAAAGGAGGATGTCAAATTTGACATTTTAGGAATCATAAGTAAAACTTGTCGGTTCCGAGGAATGTCAGATTATCAATGCATCCCAAGCATAAAGCATCCTATACTTGAATATAGAAAGGCACTTGAGTCTTTGGATGGTATTATATATGTGTAAATATTTAATCCATTTTAAATTGTAAATATACTTATTCGATTTATTCAACATAGTTGATAAGATAATGGGTTTCGAATCTATTATAAATGATATAAAAGAAGAAAGCAATTTGCCACCCCCTTCTTTTTCACGCGTAGAATGTCCAATGGATTACGGGTATTTATTTACACAAAATGATAACACGATCCAGGACCGAGAAAGCTCCTAATAAAGGACCGCAAAATTCTAACAATTTTCACATATCGATATCACTCATGTGACCTCGTATACTTTACAGTTTTCATCTATATAAATGTAAGGCCAAATATTCCCTTGATGTCAATTTTAATAGTTACCTTTATTAGAAGTTTTCTCGGTTCTTTGCAATTTCTATAATTCGTAATTTACAGCTCCTATCTTTCTTAATCCACAGATATCAACAAAATACGGCTGTTGTCAAAGTGTTGGTTAAAAAGAATGATGACCAGGTAATCAGTGTAACTTTAGTAGAAGTGATCAAAGTTATCGAACATAATATTTAATTACAAATATTTCTTTCAATTAAGCCTCCATCTCTTAAGCTTATTAATCGAAGTCGTAGGAAGAAATTTATAGCGATATCAATTACATATGACATTGATAATATCCTTTGAGTCTATTATTGAGTTATATAAATCAAACAAAAAAAAATAAAAATAAAGTGTATTCATTAGTTCCTTGACATTCCATTACCTGTTCCAGAGGAGCCGCCACCAGAATCTCTAAAGAATATTGAACGAATACCTCAAGAAAGTATAGATCGAATTCGTAAGGTAAAAGAGTGAAAAATGTTTGAATCATAAATTTAAATTCGATTAAACATTATTCAGTTATTTGAAGAACGTCCAGTATGGACGAGATTCGCATTGGAAAATAATTTACCTCCAAATGATATAAGAAATATCAAAAGGTATTTTATTTACAATTACTTTGCTTTCATTAGTGAACAGGATTAAATATTAAATCTTCATGATACAGACTGTTGCCTTTGGTCGCGTATTTGATGTCAAACGGTCCGTGGCGTGATTGTTGGATGCGTTATGGATATGACCCACGATTAAATAAGGAAGCAAGATTGTATATAATCATTTATATTGTGTGTTATTTCTTCATTTTCGTAAATTTTTAACCTATTATTTTGTTTAGCTATCAGCTTCTGGACATTAGAAGCTCTCGAAGACCTACAAAACTTGGGCGAGCGAAACGTTTGCTTCACGTACGAGAGGAAGCCACAAAGGAAAATGGAGGCACAGATAATTACAAGTAAGATTTAGTGAGCATTTATTTCTTGACCTTATATAACATCTTTTTAAACTTATAATACCATCAGTTCACGGACTTCACATATCTTTGATGGATCTTCAACATGTCGAGATGTTGCGGTTTTTCAAATATGTGACATAACTTATCCTTTGTTAAAAACCATTATTGAATCACCTGATTCTGTTCAAGACTTTTGTGATGTCAGCATGAAATTTAATTATTTTTTTGTCACAATTTTTAAACTACATACATTCATTTATTTTTTATTATAAAAATAATAAATTATAAAGGAACATGATGGATTTTATAAACGTAGTGAATTAACAAAGATAAGAAAGATTATGAGACGAAAGTTCAGGGCATTAACTGAAGGTAAAGTATTAAATGACGAGAATTTTGACGACTTATTGAATGCACGTGATGATGAATCGGAAAATGATGATGGTGGCGAAGAAGACGAAGAAATGAGTGATATTGATAACGAATCGAAAGACGATCAAATTATAAGCAGGGTAAAAGATTATTGAAATAAGGTTATATGAATTCAAAAACGAGATTATTGTTTTATTCGAGTATTATACATTATATTTAGGTTGATGAATTAATGCGTAACCTGCAAGCAATGCAAGGACAAGAAGGTGAATTATATATATGTGTATTGAAATTCGAACGAAATTTTCGTATTTTTTGATAATTTTTTTTTACTTCTTTTGTAAAGATTTCGAACAAGACGACGAGGGAATGTTTTATTCATTTGAGGATTTTGATAATTCAGATACGTTTGAAGAGAACGAAAGCGATTATAATGAAGTTGAAGAAGAGTACGATGATTTTGATGTTTAATAAAAATCACGTGACGATATTTAAATCCTTGATTTTTGCTCGATTAAACCGTACCGGTTTCTTTGTATTTATTTAATACCCTTTCCAATTCATCCTGTTTTATTCTATGTTTAAAGATGAATTGGTTATTGATATGTAAAACCGGAATGTCATGTTTATATTTTTCAAACCAATCTGAATTCTCCGGAGCCTTTATGTCTTTTTGTTCAAAATCGCAAGGAATCTAAGAAAAATGCATTGTAAGTGATATTAAATTTTATAAAAAAAATTTATAGAGTTGATTTAATTACTTTTTTTTGAACTTTCTCAATGGTATATTTTGCATCAATACAAAGCGAACAAGATTTTGAAGTAAATAAAGTTAAAAGGATTCGACGCGCTGGCGAAATTACCATTTTTCATTGGTTTCAAATTTTTTTTTTTTTTGGTCAATAAAAATATGTATATATATATAATCAAACGAGTCTTAAAACTTGTTTGTTTTGTAAATTAAGGTAGACACAAAGTAATAAATAGTCACACATTGCGCAGAGCTTGGCTGATAAACAATAGTTACCATTTTTTTGTTTGTCATGTCTTTAAAAAAAAAAAGATCAGTGTAGTACTTTATCAGTGTAACTTTTTTTTGCAAAAAAAAAAAAATTTTTCTGCGACTGCGCATCATTTGTTGATTCGCTTATTAGCATTACCTTTTATAATAAACCCTTAAGGTTAATTTAATTTCTTTTTGGTCTTTAATTGGATAAAATGACGATCCGATAGTAGATAAAATTGATAAATGGCGTTTTTTCGGAATTGTTTCAGATGTGTGAGACTTTCGTACAACAGAAACGCCATCGACTCATGGGTTGTATTGTTACACAGATTGAAAGACTATATTTTTTGATGCGATTTTGGGTATTCTTAACGCTACCCAGTTTTTTTGCTGACCTCTTGTAAGCAAAACGAAGCATTTGTTCATCCGTAATAAGTTCTTTGTCCTGCCCGTGGACTTACCAAAATCAAAGGAGCCTTCAGTCCGTCAAGTCCAAATAGGCATCCATTTCTAGAATCAGTAAATTTCCCTTCTAGTATCCAGTTAGAAGGGATAGATTTTTTTTTTTTCTTAACGACCAAAACGAACGTTACTTCATCCACATCTGACCATCGAACCCTTTACAAAGAGATAATAAAAATATCCTAGTTTATTCTTGCAACATTTTATTTATTATACACGTGCCATAAGATTTAATTAATATAATGGCCGAAGAAAGTACACCTGTACCTGCAACATCTGTTACAAATGAGGCCGTGACCCTTGTTACTCCTGCTGTTGAAGTTGAAAAAGTCTCGGTTACTGACGTTGCTCCCAGGGAGGAAATCAGAGAAGAAGAAGTCGAGCATAAAGTTTTTGTAGGAAATTTGGCTTTCTCAACAAATGAACAAGCATTAGCCGAATTTTTCAATCAAACTGGCAGAGTGTAAATAATCTTTTTATGATTCTTTGATTTCTTTATTATTTTGATCAAATATTTATTTATAGATTAATTTATCCACTGGATGGTTCAATTAAAAAGATATATTATCCCAAATATTAAAATTTTATTTGGTTACACAATTATTTTAATGATATATCATTTGATTTAAATAATAATAATAATAATAATAGTTTACTCACGGTACATGGTATTCTAACCTCAACAAATCATTTTTTTTTTTTTCCTTTCATCAGTGTCAAGGCCAACATCATTACTCGTGGCTCACGCTCTTTAGGATATGGTTTCGTTGCTCTTGAAACCGAAGAAGACGCAAAGAATGTTGTCGAACAATTAAATAAGCAAGAATTAGATGGCCGTCAAATCAATGTGGAAGTTGCCAAACCCAAAAATGAGAGTTCTGCTGCCACTCATCATAATCGTCGTGGTCGAGGAAGATGGGGCCGAGGTAGAGGAAGAGGACGTGGTAGGGGTCGTGGACGGGGTAGAGGTCGCGGAGCATGGGTAAGTAAAGTAATTCATGAGTAATTTTTATATTTCTCCTTAAATGTTACAATTCAACTTGTTTACGAGCATTTGCATCCTAATTTTATATAGTATAATAACCGTCGTCGATATCCGAGTCGCCCTGCAGAAGTTAGCGGCGAAAATAATGTCGAAATTAATGATTCTACAGCGGTTACTGACGTCCCAGCTACAAATGGTACCAGCGAAAACGACAACGCACCACCTAAAAGACGTGGCAGGTTTCCTTATCGGGGACGTGGCCGCGGTCGCGGTCGTGGTCGTGGCGGGCGTCGTCGTCCTCCCAATCGAAGTTATTTAAAGACTGGAGAGCCATCCAAGACGGTTGTATTTGTTGCAAATCTCCCATTTGCCATCAATGATGATGGTTTGAAAGATATCTTCAAAGATTATAATGTAGCTTCTGCTCACGTTGTTTACCGTCGCGGTGGACGTTCAAAGGGTTTTGGTTTCGTAGAATTGGCTGATGAAGAAGAACAAAAGAAAGCTCTTGAAGGATTAAAAGATGTTGAATCAGAAGGTAGAGTGTTGGTCATTAAAGTTGCATTGAGCGATCAACATGTTCAACCTGGTGGTAGTGGTAGTGGTGGTGATGACGTTACTATTGAAAAGCCTGAAGCGACTACTTCCAATGAAGAGAAGAAAGAAATTGATGTGTAAAAAAAAAAAAAAAAAAAAAAAAAAAAAAAGATTCGCACAAGATTTAGCAAGAGTCATTGGTAAATTCTCTTGTTGAATAGTAAAAATCATTGCCTTTTTTTTTCTTTATTGAGTTCCTTAGATTTCTAGTAATCAACATTTATATTTAGTTATGGTATATGAGCACGATTTTTATAATTATTTTTTTATTTTTGGTATGTTCTTATTTTTCATACCTTTATATATATGCTTCCATGTCCCATGCCCCTTAATCATTTTATTCTTTTTTTTTATATCCATTTTCTTCTCCCTCGACACCCTTCCTCCTTTATCATTTAATCATATATTTATTTATATAAAATATTATTTAGCAATTTTTTTGGGGCAGAAAAGGTTAGAAACAGTCGCCTTTTTCTATTATATCCTTTGGTGATATATTGATCTTTATTTATGTAATGGAAGAACATATGTTTTCGTTTATATATGGTAATAAAATTGGCAATTACAAAAAAAATAAATAAAACAAAAAACAAAAACAACAAAAAAAAACAACTTAAAAAGAAACACCATTATTGTGTATCTATGTCATTTATTTATTTATAAAATTAATAAAATTACAAAAAATTGAGACTTAAACACGAACATTTTCATAACCACTTTGGCCTATTAACAGGAACCCCAACCAAATCTGTGTCAAATAATTCAATAAATTGTTCATTTAATACTCTAACTTTTGATCCAGCATAACGACGATATTCTTCAAAAATTGAAGTTAAATTCCATCTTTGTAGTTTACGAAGACATCCTACGATCGTACCTAAGATTATTTTTTCTTACAATTAATGTCGGAAAGATTAACAAAAAAAAAAATTTATATATAAAATTTAATTGCCTTAATTACCAGTTCTATGCCTTCCCAAATTACACATTACAATCATTGGATAACTACGAGGGTTTAAAATAACTTCTAATGCTGCTAATACAACTTCCTCGGTAATTGGATCCAACGCATTGACTGAAGATATTACACCAAGGTGATGCCATTGGATATTTTGATCATCGATGAAATTTAAGCTAATGATCAGAAATAAAAAAATTTTTTTTTAAGTAAAATAATTATTTTACAAAAAAAAAAAAAAAATAAATAATTCAAATCTTACAATCTATGATTTGGATCTTCAGGAGCTAACCAAACCACAGTTTTTAATCCCAACTTCTCCAAAAAAGGGAAATTAAGTTCATTTGGTTGCCCTGACCTATAAAGATCTTCTTCTATCATACCATAATTCTAAAAAGATTAAAACGCGAACGTGTAAATAAATAAATGAATAAAGATGGTGAAGCAAAAAAAAAAATTGTTTGATCCGAACGTTTGTTTTAAATTATGTTTCACGAGCTCATTCTTTTTGAAATGCGAAAAAAAGAAAAGGACATACCAATGGTGGAATAAAGTGTTGTGAACTCATTTTTTTTATAGTTGCATACGTTTCTAAATTATTGATAGATGATCGATCATCCAACATTGATTGATCAACATCTTTCAAATTTAATTTTTTTTTTTAAAAAAAAATGTCCCCACATTTAGTACAAATCGCTGAATTAAAAGGTATGATGATAATTTGTTGAAAATCAACTGCCACAAAAGATTCTAATAACCTTTCAATGAATAGGACACTCTGACAGAGTTTGGTCTGTTTCTTGGTCACCTACGGGCAACATTTTAGCTTCTTGTGGTGGTGATAAAACTGTACGTTTATGGGTTCCAACCTCCGAAGACAACCCCTCGGAATGGATTTGTACAAATACTTTGGAAGGTGCTCATAAAAGAACCATAAGAAATGTTTCATGGAGTCCGAGCGGTCGACAACTCGCAACTGCTAGTTTTGATGCACTTACTGGTATATGGGAACGAGATGACGCTGGAGGTATAAACAGTTCAAATTCGATATATATTCCCTTTATTAAAAATGAAATTACTAAGGAATTTATTTACTTTGTCAGATTATGAATGCGTCGCTACATTGGAAGGTCACGAGAATGAAACAAAGTCGGTTGCGTGGGCCTCGTCAGGTTCTTTAGTTGCTACATGTGGCCGTGATAAAAGTGTTTGGATATGGGAAGGTGATTACACAACGTTGACAGAATCAATTATATTCTTAACTCGCGCCTGACAGAAATTTATAATTACAAAGCAGCGGCAGATAATGACTTTGAATGTATATCGGTTTTGCAAGAACACATACAAGATGTAAAGATGGTTATATGGCATCCAACTAATGAAGTAAGAGTGTTATTTATTTTCCACAGAATATAACTTTTAAAATACTAATTGAAATTTATCTAAGTTATTGGCATCGGCAAGTTACGATGATACAATAAAACTTTGGCGAGAAGATGATGACGACTGGTATTGTTCAGATACGTTGGAAGGACACGAAAGTACAGTTTGGGCTATTGATTTTGATAAAGATGGCGAGTATTTAGGTACGTATTTTATAATAAATCTTTTACAAGAATTGATTTTGTCGAAAGATTATATCTTAATTTACTTGTTATTATCGTTAAAGTATCCGCTTCGGATGATAAAACAATTAAATTCTGGAAAGGCTTTCCAAATGATAATCAAGAAGGGACGGATGCTCATCGAGGTCATTCTAAATGGAAATGTGTACACACATTAAGCGGTCATCATACGCGATGTGTTTATTCTGTGAGCTGGTCAAAAGTTCACGGACGTATCGCTAGTGGGAGTGCTGATAATGTTATTAGGGTTTTTGATAAATCTTCACCAAATGATATAAATCCTTCCAATTTTTCATTAGTCGCTTCAATACCTTCTGCTCATGGAGTTGCTGATGTTAATTGTGTACAATGGTATCCTACTGAAAGACATTCTGATTGGTTAGCTTCAGCCGGAGACGATGGAATTGTTAGAATATGGCGATTCGTTGAATAATTATAAAAGAACAGATTTTTAATTGTTTTTCTTAATGTAAATTATTTAAAACCCTTTTTTTTCTCGTGTAATAATTTTTATGTATATTTAATATTACGGTTTGAATTGCGTGAAAATTGATCAGTGTGATAAAGAAAACAATCTTTACTGTAACATATTATCCAATCATTATTCGAAAACCTCTCAAATATCACCAAAAAAAAAATTTTTTTTTAATTTCCAATATATATAATATCAATCATTTTAAAAAAATAAAGATCTTCCTCTTTTACTCATTTGACTCTGTATCGAGTAGAGTAATAAATAAACCGCCAAAATGGTATTTAAATGTTAAATTCGATAACTGTTTTATTTTAAAGAGAATTTATTTAGAAATAATTTTTATTTAAATAGGGTAAAGTTCACGGATCACTTGCTCGTGCTGGTAAAGTCAAATCTCAAACACCAAAAGTCGAAAAGCAGGAAAAGAAAAAGAAAAAAGCCGGACGAGCCAAGAAACGTATCTTGTATAATCGTCGGTTTGTTAATGTAACTAGCATAGGAAAACGAAGGGTAATTACGATGATATTTAATAATATTCCATGATTTTTTTTTTTTTCTTTTTTTAAAAAAAAATGCCGTTAATTAATGCTTTTTTTTAAAAAAATAATCCTTTAGATGAACCCTGCTCCAACATCCGATAGACCTTAATCTTTCCTCACCCACATGATTCATTAAAAATAATAAAAAAGTTCAATTAAAAAAATTTTCATAATTAATATTCGTTGTTGGATTTGGTTGAAACCGTTAGAATCATTTTATTTTGTTTTGGCGGTTAACTTATGTTAATTAATAAAAGCTTCTCTTTTTAATGGTTTGAAATTTGCGAAAACCATATTTCGATTTTTATTATTCTTAAATCTGATTTGTAATGAAATAATAATTCAATTTGTATAAAGAAAAAACACGATTTAAGTGTTTATTATATTTATTTCAATACGTAATTTTTTATTTTTTTTTTTAATAAAAAAAAAAAAAAGATCAGAAACAATTATATTAGATAATACATCAATGAACATTTATTTGAAAAGAGAATACCAGAGTATCACGTTAAACTTACCTTTAAATATGTAAGAAAAAAAAAAAGAAATGATAACAATGATAAATCAAACAAATAATTTTTTCTTTGATATAGATGATTGTTCATTATTTATTTCCTCATGATAAAAAAAAAAAATTTTTTTTTTTTTTTTGATCCATTAGGATAAATACCATTAAATCCAGCCAATTCTAAAGTTCGATCAAAATTATTCTTTACATAAAAAGAATAATCGCGAACAATTCCAAATTCTTAACCTTTTGCTTTACGTTTTCTTTTATTTTATAAAATCCATGATCATTTTATAAACGTCAATTCCAAGTATAAAAAAAAAAGAAAAAATTTAAGGAAACAGGTGATGAGATTACATGTTTAAGGTGATGGCAAGGTCTCAAATCCACTATATTTCTTTTCATCGAGTAATTTTCCTTTTTCAACCCAGAGTAACTTGTAAGAATTTTTAATCGTTACTTCAGAAACTCCAGTCACTTGAGCGACATCTTTTGTTGACTGAGGTTGTTGATATAAACAAGAAGCCATGTATATACAAGCTGCCGCGACGGATACAGGGGACTTTCCAGCCAATGTACCAAGTTCCTTTGTTTTCAAAGTTAGTTCAAGAGCTGCCTTTTGAACTTCCATTCGGAGATGTAACATGGAGCAGAAACGGGACATCAAATCTTCTGATGTCATTGTTGATACATTTGTTTCAAAAGTACGAATTAAAGTTTTAAAACACCTTCCAATCTCTTTTTTAGGAACTCGTGTGATGGCACAAATCTCCTTGAATGTACGAGGTACATTTTCTTGTCGACAGGCAATGAAAATACAAGCGGCAATAATTGATTCGGTACTTTTACCACGTAAAAGTTTCTCTTCTTCAACTCTCTTATACAATTGTTTCGCTATATCAGCGATCAATTTTGTTAATCCAATAGCGTCACTCATCGCTGCAATCTCTTTATATGCTTGAATAAGATTTTTCTCGCCCTTTACTGCATTTGCTCGTCCATGAACTTTATTAAGGTCTCTGGCCATTCCTGAACCCCCATCCCTTCTCGAAATAACAGTATCTAATTGAGCACCATCAAGAAGTGGATTCGCGGCCGCACCAACACGGGAAGGATCATCACCTTCGTCATTAGCAAAAGTTCTCCATTCAGATCTTGTATCAATTATACGGTCCCCAAGAACTAGACCACAATCCCCACATACTAAATCTCCACTTGCAAATTCTTCAACAATATTTGGAACTGGATTTTTACAATCGGGGCACACTAAACGAATGTTAAGATCTGGCAGAACTGCCTTAGGCCCCTGTTCCGTTGCAGGTTGAAGACGTGGGAAAGGAATATTTGACATCTAATATAAGTTTCAAAACGTAAAGTTATGAATATAATGATAAAATTTTTGTGTATAAATATTTTGAAAGATGAATCATTTTTATTTACAAAACCAATTAAATACGTTATATATTTTTTTTTTATTGTTTTACAACCTATAATATTTGGAAGGATGACTACATATAATAAAAACTTTATATATCACATAAACGTCGTTGACCTTTCATACTTTACCTTTTTATTTCAGGCTGTTAAAGGTGATTTAGTAGGAGTGTTGGGTACACGAAACCTTTAAATGTTAAAAGCTCGTTTTTCTATATAATTTATTTATTTTTTCAAGCTAATATTAATTAATAAGCTTTTAAACCATCTCGAAACAATAAATGCTAACATAATGCTAACATATTTTATGATCCCTTAATACCTTGCTCCTTTTTAATTGATACGCTTTCACTATTCTTGAACAGTTAAAGATAGTCAAATAGAGAAGTGAACTTTCTGAAGAATTTTTATCTTATTTGAGGCTTAAAAATGTAAAAAATGTAAAATTTATTGATTTAATTGATTATTATTTAATTCGGCCGCAGTTTTATCCAGACCAACCACTAATTTCACGTGACCTAAAATACCTTGATAAAATATATAATACACGACACCCTAATTTCCATCATATTTAAATAAAAAGCTTGAATGGCTTTCTCCAAAACAAAATAAAATAAAGACTTTCTTGTATTAAATAAATTTCAATCCTGTTTCTTTCTCCATTTCGATTTTATCCTCAGGAGAAAAAAAGTCATCTTTCGTTAAAGGGTGACTAAAACCTGGTATATTTTTGATGTAATCCAACTCATTAAAAAGAATGTCATCTACATTTTCCAGACATGAATAATCATTATCTTCAGCAGACACTTTTAATTTTTTCTTGTTATCTACTCCGTAATCGTAATGTTCATCGACAGCATCCATCATAGCTCCCAAGTTTGCTAATCGATCGGCCTCTTCGTTTTCTAAAACGCCAGCATGCCCTGGGACATATTTCTAATTACATTTATATATATATATATATATTTGAAAGGAGAAATGAAATTCAAAGATTCAAATCAAAAAAAAAAACAAATAACAGATCAAGAAAAAGAAAAAAAAAAAAATGTAGAAATCGACATTACAATCGTTACTTCTGCATTACGTGCTCTCGTTAATTTTACTAATCGTTGAAAAAGTTCTTTATTTTCAACATCTTTATTATTTGCCGTCTTCCATTTATTATCCTTTTCCCATCTAGGTATCCAGGAAGTATATGCTAATTAAGAAAATAAATTTATTAACAATGATTAATAAATTTGATATACATCATGATAAGTTCTTACCATTGATTGTATATTTGCTGTCGGTTCTTATTTCCAATGGTACATTATTGTCCGGGCAAGTTTCTAAAGCACGTATTACTGCCTAAACCGCGGAAAATTGTCAATCGATTAGAATTACTTGAAAACAAAGGTTCAAATTTCTTATAGCATATTAACCATAATTTCGGCTCGATTATTAGTTTGTCTGGGACCCGGTAATCGTTCGCTGACATTACTATAATCATTGAATATTACTGTCAATATTCTTAAGATTACCGATGATGAAAGAAAAAAAAAATTTACCGAGGATCATTTTCACCCCAATAAACTCCCACACCAGCCCTTGCCTCATCCTTTCCGTTAGAACGTGCACTTCCGTCAGTCCAAACTTTGAGAGATTTTCTGTTGCCAAGGTTATATGATTGCTAGATGATTTGGTTTGGGTTAATAATAATTGTAATAAACACGATAAAATATATACGTATAAATATATCATACCGAATGTAAAGTTGATGGGATAGAGGTACTTTCCTTTTGTTTTTTTTGTCTAGACGTTTTACGTGAGATTTCTTCTTGAATAGATCAGAATAAAAATAATCAAATGAAATAATTAATTATTATAAACAGGATAAATAATGATCTATTATAAACCTTGTTTTTTAAATCCTTCTTTCACAAACGTTTCAGCTTCTTGGAGAGTCGTAAACTTTTTATATTTTGCATAGGGAAAATCCTTGATATGTTTCTCACATTCTTCCCTATAGAAAATGTTTGACCGCGAGTATATTAACATGTATTATTTGAATAATTAGAAAGGTACCCAAGAAATCATAATTAAGGTCACATGCTACTATGCTAAAATTTACATTGGGACATTATTATGTATAGAAATTTACTCATTTTTGCCTTGTCTTGTAACTTAATAAAATTCGTTAAAAAAGTTAGAAAAACAGTCGGATATGACCTCAACTATAATAATCCGAGTCCTAATTATATAGAAACCATCCCACGTACCAGGATAGATAAACTCCCGGTAAGCGACCAACGTGAACCGCATAAAACCCAGATTTGGATTTGGGCATTTCAGTTTTTATGACGCTGCGTATTCTCTTATGAGGAGACGTGTTTAACTTCGTGAGTAAACGGGATTGTCTCAAACTATGATCTGAAACAGATAAATTTCGCGTTCGGTTCTTTGAAGTTGTTTGTTTTGCCGTTCTTATACTATAAAAT